CGGTAGGCAGAGGGGAACGGCTCTGACGGATGGGCTGGGGGCTCCAGGCACCCCAGAGGAATCCAGTGCTCTGGGAACACAGGATAAAAGCTGCCACTCGGGAGGCCGGGCTCCAGAGCGGGGAGTCTCCAGGGGTCACTCGCAAGCTTGTAATGCAAGAAATGGACAAAGCAGCAACCAGGGCTGGGGACACGCTGCGTCTGCAGTTGAAAGAAGCTCCGCGTCTTCTCCTGATCAGCTTGTGGGTCTGGACGCCCGCCTGGGGGTGCCATGGGCAAGACATGGAGCACCAGGATCCAGTGAGCTTAGACGAGCCCTCAGACCCCGTGATGGCCGGGAACAGAAGTGAAGGTGTCTTTTGACCCTGGTGGGGCCTGGGGCCGAAGTCAGAACCACACAGCTCAGGAAGAATATGAGCTTGCTCCTCATGATGGGCACCTCGTGCCAAAACAAGGCCAGTGGCCTTCACAGGCTGGTCCAGCTGCGACAGTGATTCTTGGGGGCTCTGGGCAATGGGGGCCGCACCTCCACCTGGCTTGGCCAAGGAAGCCCCTGAACGGCCTTCCTGCCGGCCAGTGTGGACTCTTCTGGAGAACTTGGTTCAACAGTGCCTTTCAGACACGATCCTTCTGTCCTCGGCTCCCCTTCTCTGCTCCTCTTGTGTCTCATGGGCAGCGGGCATTTGCAGGGAATGAGGAACCCTGAGTTTGGGAATCCACCTGCTCCGGCTGCTTTCTTCACGTAAACCATGACCTTTGGCTCTCGAGTCCCATCAGCCTCAGGCAAGGGTCGCTGACCAAAGGCTCCAATGGAGCATTCACAGGGTACGTCAGCTCCCCAGAAAGCCAGGGCCAGTGAGTATCAAATAGCTGCCCCCACCACAGGACGGGGCTTGGCAGAAGTCCCCAGCAGTGGCTCAGCTACCCCATGCCTTGGCACCCCCATCAGTCTTGGTGCCACGTCTGCAAAGACAACTCTGGACCTACCTGGTCATTGATCTGACACATGGTGAGGTTCTGGTCATCACAGGAGCAAGCCACACGGATGTACTTGAGCCAGCTGCCAGACCCCGCCTGGTTAGCATCCATGCAGAACTTCTCGCTGCCCAGGTCTTCAGAGATCTGCCGGGGAAGAAAGAAAACCAAGGGTCAGAGATGCCCTGTGTGCTAGAGTCTGCATACCACATCTGCCCAGCAGGTTCAGCCTAGGAGGGGAGGTGAGTGTCTGGAGCCCTGTCTAGGAAGCACGGAGGACCCTGGCCTACCCAGCCCGCCCATGCCCAGGAGCCTCTGGGGACCTGGCGGAGAGGTAGGAGACAGTCTTTTCTCTTCTCACCAGCTGATTGCTGCCCTGGCTAGGCAGTACACCGAGCCTCCGGCATTGCAAAAACTCCCCAGCAGCGCCGGCCCACGTGTGAGAAAGCAGAGGCCTCTGAACCTGAGAACAGGGCCCCTGCTGAGGAGAGCGGGTGCTGGGCTGCAGAGAGTGTGTTTGAAGGTGAAGGTGTGTCTGGGTGCTCGGCGGCATGGGGTCTGCGTGTGCGTGTGCCTGCGGGGGCATGCGGGTGCGTGTGTGCACATGTGTGTGTGCTCACGTCAACTTGCACATCACCCTGAAAGTAAGAAAAGCTGCTTGTTTCCTGAAAACTGGAAAGTTTCAGTTTGACACCCAGAGGCACGCAAATGCCTCGCTCTTCTCACCACGCCCTCAGAGAGTGCTTTGTTGCTGCTGCTGTTTTCTGAACACTGCTCTGACAGGCAGCGCGGCAGCTGCTCAGGCTGCTTTTCTTATCGCCATCACCCCTGCCCTTCGGAGACCGTCCTTTACTAGAAGACCTGACCCGCTGTCTACTGCTGAGACAGGGCATTCCCTAGACCTGCCGGGCCACAGCATGGGTGCTGCAGGTGGAGTCTAGCCTCCCAGCCTCCTGCCTGCTCCGGTCAGTGCTTCCTCTGGGTTCTGAATCCAGAGCCACTGAGGCCAGCAGCATGTTGGGAGAACCTCTGGACAGCTCAGTCCCAGCACAGAGAGGGTGGGAGGGTTGGGGGAGGGCGGTGAGCAGGTGCTGAGGCCACCACCACACTGAGGTCCTAGAAGGAGAAAGGCTATGTCCAGATAGGCACGTGTTTCCGGGGCAGGTGTCCTGGTAGGCAGGTGTGTCCAGGTAGACAGGTGTATCCAGGTGGGCTGGTATGTCTGGGTGTGCAGTTGTGTCCAGGTAGGCAGGTATGTCCAGGTGGGCAGGTGTGTCCAGGTGGTCAGGGGTGATGAGAGCAGGGAGTCAGACGGAGCCAGGCAAGTCAGGGCAGGGGTAGTGTCCACCTGAGGTCTGGAAGCCGCCCACTGTGTCCAAAGAGTTGGGAGTTTTGTAAACAGTTCAAGTGCTCCACAGATGTCCACAGACACTTCCCAAATGACCAAGGGCCCCACTGGGCCTCAGGGTCGATGAGGAACGGAGGCTTGGGGAGGTGGCTGCTTGGCTCTAGGATGCACAGAAGCTGCTGTGGAGTCTGTGTGCTGTGCCCGTCGCCTCCTGAGACTACAGCCCCTTCTGGAGTCCCTGGGGTGTGGGGTCTGTTACCACCCTTCCTATAAACAACAAGTCTCTGAGTGATGTGCTCGGGTCCCACTTTGCCGGACACCTTGGAGACTGACCTGAAAGGTCTGTGAGGGGCCTTAGTTCTGAGCAGTCTCTGCTTTGCAGGGACTTTATTATTTGTGCCACGATCAAAGCCACATGGGCCTAGTTCTGAAAGAGGAGAGAGAGGGACCAGAGGGAACCCAGGAACAATGGGGTCAGAAAGACACATGGATGGGGAAGACGGGGGTTGGGGGATGGGGCTGGAGAGAGAGCAGAGCAGGAAAGCAGCGGACTCTGTGTCCAGCCCTCCGGTCCTCCGTGGCTGCATCCAGACCCTCAAGAGGCCACGGGCTGAACACTGGTGCCGCGCATCCAGCCCCGCGTGCACAGCCCCCATGACCCTGCGGTCCGACGCCCAAATGCTCACAAATGCTTCCCTGGATTCTGGAGCCATCTCATGCCCGGCGCTGGAATTCTTCTTTTGCAAAGTCAATGTCGGCACAGTGCAAGGAGGATGCACACAGGCCAGACGCCCTGCCGCTGCGTGTCCTGCCCCCTCCTCTCCAGAGACTGCTACAGGGCGCTGGAATTCTTCTTTTGCAAAGTCAATGTCGGCACAGTGCAAGGAGGATACACACAGGCCAGACGCCCTGCCGCTGCGTGTCCTGCCCCCTCCTCTCCAGAGACTGCTACAGAATGCCAGACCCCAAGTAGAGCAGAGACGGGGAGAGGGTCTTCAGTCTCTTCCCCGCTCTACCAGCCCTCCTTCTGGGCCAACGTCTGCCAACAATGCTGGGCTTCCCACCTAAGGGTGGGCAGTGAGGGCCCTTGGGTGCCGGGCAAGGGAGACGTGGGGTGCAGGGTAGGGGCTGAGCTCCTGCTCTCAGAGGCCTTTCTGGCTCCATGCAGGGCGGCCGTGGTCGCACTCACAGCTCACTTGCAGATGAGGCAGCAGCAGCGGGACGCTGCCCAGTCTCACAAGGTGCGGCTGTCGAGCTCCGTCGATCAAGGGACTTTGGTTAAATGGCCAAGTCCCTTCATCCACTCTTGCTCAATTTTCCTCTCTGCCCATGTCGGCCACCAATCCTGTCCACTCTGCTGGCTGTGGGTCCCTGAAGCAGACCCGGATCAGAGACTGGGTGCCCAAGGAGAGTGAACAGCAGTGGTAGTGTGGTCATACCGCCTGGGAGCAGAGCTGGGCAGCACCCCCTGGCCGGCCCCAAGATGTGGATCCGTGTCCCCGTCAGGGGCTTGCTGACATCCCGCCGTGCCGCACACAATTCCTGTGAGCCGAGGGCTGACGGGGACTCACCCAGGGCCGACAGTGCCCTCCCGCCTGGGATCTGAACTGAGTGAGGCCTCCTGCCAGTGTAGCCAGGAGCATGTGCTCCCGAACAGCCCCCCCACCCCCGAGCCCATGCGCCAGGCAACGGGGTCAGGCTGTCTCCTGAGAGGCAGGACCCTCAACTCCACATGCTCCCACCACACGGGCTTGGCCGGCTCCCCCCCTCTGCTCCGGCTGCCTCGGGTCACTTTCTCACTGTGCCGATTTGTCTTTTTCCAAAACATACTTGCTGCCCCCACAACCACCCGAGGGGCACCCCTGACACATACGCACGCACACATGCACACACACAGGTACAAATCCACATGCCTGCATGCGTGCACGCACATACATACATGCAGGTGTCTCTTCTGCTGTGCCCCTTTCCTCCGTCAACCCCAAGAGATACTTGACCCTTTAGAGGTTCTCAAAGGACTTTTACTGGGGACAGGGGACAAAAAGCACAGGAGGCCGAGCCAGCAGCACTGAGCACGCTGCATCTTTTGGAATCATTTTTGGGTGGACAGACCCTCCCTTCCAGCAATGTCCCCCCTCACCTTGCAGAACAAGCCTCTCTCTTCTCCACATGACGACCCTACAGGTATTTGACTGTGCCCTAACCTCCCTGTGCCAGGGTAAACCTCTCCAGCTCTCTCAAGTGTGTCTGAGCAGGGTCATGGCTGGCTGCTCACCCATGGGACACTGCTCGGGAGGCTTTGGTCTCTACCTGTCTCTCTTGGGGTACAGAGGACTCAAGCACTAGGCCACCCTCCCTGCCGTGCAGGTGGGGTCCACTCTGGCCCAACGGCCTCTCCTTCCTGGTCACCTCCATGTCCCAGGTCCTCCCTTGTCATTCCCAGAAAGCCTAGTCCCAAACCCCTGACTATCTGGATAGTCACAGGGTGAGAGTTACTTCCTGGTGGCCCCTAAAGATTCGAGGAGATTCCCTTCCCTCTTGGGAGCACCTAGGGCTGGACTTCTGGGGTGACTCCTTCCTTCCAAAGGGACTAAGACTCTGTCAAAGGTCTGATGCGGGGGCGGGGGCGATGGTCCCTGCTTGTCTTGGGGCAGGGGAGCCCACCCTTTCCAACCTGGGTGGATACTATGTCCAGCCTCGTCTGGGAGCTGGGCCACTGCTTGGACCTAAGTTTTGCTGTGAAGCCTTTTAGCTCTGACACCTCTGGGCCATCTGGGGGCCTCCCAGGCAGAGCCCATGGCCTGGTTTTGTCTCAGTGGCACAGGAGGCCAGTAAAGATGAGAAGCAGGTGGACAAGCGCCTGAATGAACGCGGGGCCCAGCCCTGGCCGCAGGTGCAGGTTCCGTCCGTTCAGGAGACATCAGTGAGGGAAGAGAGGGAGAGGAGGCAGGAGTGGCCCGGCCCACGTCTCCTCCTGGCCGGCTTCAGCACGCAGCACCCTGGGGGCCGCCACAGCCGCAGGGCTGAGCCTCTGCAGATTCAGAATCCGGCTTCCTGCCTGGTCGCCACTCGAAAGCCTGGCTCTGGGGCTGTTTTGGGCCGAGCCTCGGGAATCCCAGAACCTCCAAAGGCAACTGCCCTCCTGCCCACTTCTCCCCACTTGGCCTCCTGGGCCTCCCCGCCCCCTCATTTCCCCACCGGCTCCCCCAGCTCGTAAATCACCCCCATCAGAAATGCTGAGTTACAGAGCAGAGTGATGGAAAACTCTCTTGACCTTGACAATTTTTTCGCACATCATCTGAGGTTTCCTGCACTTCTAATTTGTGGGCTCCGCTGGGCTGGCTCTTTCACATTTAATGGGCACGGCCAGCCGCTGGCCCCGTCTGGGGCGCGCATGCAGGCGGGAATGCTGAGGCATCTGTCGTCAGCTCGCCTAATGGTTCCGAGCTTCCTAGTGTGCAGGCAGGCACGGAGCCCTGTGAGTCTGCCCTCTCGGTCCCTGCGGCCCTTTGTGTGACGTGGCTTCCCAGCAGCCCGGGGCATGCAGTCCACCTCTGACAGCCACAGCTGGCAGGAG